TATACACTTTCCGTCACAATATCTTATTCCAAGGGGGGCAAAAGAAACCGTATGGAATGTCTCCAAGTCTAACGCCGGCCAACGCCGTTACCCTATCAGCACAATGTCGTTCACTGTTTTGAAACTAGAAACCTTATCTTGGAAAATAACACAATATAGCCTCTAGAAGTTCTCCTTGTGAAATATGAACCCAAATTTCTGGCAGTGCTTATTGATGACGATTCCTAAAGCCGGTGAACCACAGAAGAACACCGACACCCTTCCCTTATCCTCCTCCTGAATCTGCGTGAAGAGCTGCAATAAAACAAGAGATAAAAAACAATTTGGGCTTTATAAATTCCGCGTTTGAATATCGATATTGATTCCTACACACGACATTCCTCCAGTTACATCTCTATAGGATTTTCCGAGATTGAAAGTCATTGGCAAAATGTTATCGCATGTGAAAATAATGACACACTGATCTTTAAACTGATTTAGGCAACACTATTTTTCTCTAGTTTGATCACTTTTATTCGTAATTTATACCGCTTGTCATTTCAAGTCAAGTTGGGAAGTTATAGAAAGTTAGCAGTACACACATTTGTCATCCAAACCTTATTTCCAACCTGTGCTGGAGTACTCGTACTCAATTCGAGCTCAGCTCAAGTACCAATAAGTATTTGACCTGTATGCGATCGTAAGTACTCGAAAACAGTACTCAGCACGTACTCGTAATTTTGTACTCGATCTCTTTTCTCAACTCGACAAAGTGCATAACTTGATCCCAGTCGCGCAGTACTCGAAAAGAAATTGGATTTTTTTCCGATACTAATTTTTCGCAGTAGGCCTATCGTTAGTGTACTTTAATGCAAATTTACATAATGCTTTAGTTTTACAATGTACTCGGATGTACTTGATTATCCTTTTTTGGCCCAGGACTCGATTAAAAAGTACTCGGACCCGGCCCGTATTCGGCACTGTGTGTACTCGGGAAACTCGGTATTCGAGCTTAGGTACTCGACTACATCACCGTTCCCAAGCGTAGCCCAATTCAAATTAATCCCAACTTACCTCACCCAGCCAAAATCATTGGTCAGATATGCCCCCAAAGGGACGCCAAGAAAGAAGCAAAATACACGCACAAACTCAATTCTGGTAAAGGGAGGAGCAGTATTGTCTTATTTTAAGATCACCATTGGTCCCTGAGAGTCCTTGTAACTCCATCGACAGTCATGCTGCTTGAAGCCAAAGTGAATTGTGACAAAAACAATCTTTGTCATTGTTCACTTTCTTACTTTTGAATGGCCTTGTGAATGGACTTGTGATTTACTGAGGACTGGTACCACAAATCATGAAGTAACAACGAAAGTGCCAGGCGCTTAGTGCTTGCTGAAAAAAATCGCATACTTTTTAATGTCGCATGGTGTCCCTTTGGAAAGAGAGTAATTTGTACCTTGTGGTTCTAATTTTGTTTCTGTTTTGTTTTTGGTTTTTTTTTACCTTATTCCAGTCTGGTCTTCCCGCCTGCAGCTTAGTTCGTAGTCCAGTCAACAAGTCCCTGTTTTCCCGCTCATGGACCAAGTCTAGCGCCATTTGGAGGCCAAAATTCGCCATGTCGAAGCGCTGAATGCCTGTCATGAATAGATGGATGTCCAAGAAACGATCCAACGAGTACTGACTCTGCCCCTGCTCCAGATTCAACAGCATGTCTACGAACCACTCAAAGGCCGTGTGGTTTCGATTCAGCCAAATAAAATCCACCTGCAACAAGAACCTTGCATTAGAAATATGCAAGCAAAATATTCATTGCTGTAATCAAATGTCAACGATTGAGTATGAATGGACCATGCCCGTTTTTAAAGTTACCATAACAATGATAACACGACGTCACATTTCGTCATTGCTCCAACGAGAACTGATGGTTAGAGTTGATTCAGTGCTGGTTCAAAAAAGAGGAAATAAGCATTTTCTCCGCCTCACAAATAAGGAAATTATATAATCCAAACTTTGTTGTTACATGCAGTAAATCAAAACGAATTAGTTTCTTTCAGAATGAAAAAAGAGAGAACAGCACTGGTTAGAGATATGCCGAAGATATAACAAGGTCATCTGATTCCTTGTACTTTATCTTTGTCAGATGAAGTAACACTGTCTGGGTCTGCGTTTTGTGAACTGTGTTAATGTTCACGGTTGCTGCTTTGACATCACAAACATATTTCTGGTTAAATGTCGCCCTAGTCCGACCCAGCATTTTCATCTTTACCGCCTCTATGGCGGTATACACTAGACGACCATCTGTGGTCGTGCTTCCTGAATCTAGTTTATGTATTGAACGCTATGGATGGGGATGGTGCCTGACTATTCAGCTTTAGTTGCAGTTTCTCCTAATTGTGAAAAATAGGTGGACGACCTGTAAATAAGGTTAATGAT